TCCTCCTCCATGAAATCCACCGTCGAATCTTCTCTCTCCGCCGTATCTCCTCCGTCTTCGGAGATCGCTTCTGTTTCTTCTCCGATCATCCCGCCTCTCGTACAAAATCCCTCAGCCGAGCTTAAAGTTCCGACGAAGAACGTGATTCCGTCGCCGGAGAAACCGGAGGAGCAGAAACGGCCGAATCGGTGCACGACGTGTAGGAAACGGGTCGGGTTAACCGGATTCAAGTGTCGGTGCGGGACGACTTTCTGCGGGACCCACAGGTACCCGGAGATCCATGGATGCACGTTCGATTTCAAATCGGCCGGTCGTGAAGAGATCGCGAAGGCGAATCCGTTGGTTAAAGCGGCGAAGCTACAGAAGATTTGATCGGAGAAGTTTCGATTTGCGTTGACTTTTCCGGTCGTCGTCGCCGTCTATTCCTCCGACGAAAGATCAGGATGGTGTAAGATTTGATCTCAGCCGTTGATCATGTGGTCATGTTTTAATGTAAAAGATTATGTATTATCAAAGGGACACGTGTCCTAATCGTGGTGTTTTAGGATGGAGACGCTCTTTTTCTTCATATTTCCCAATTAATATTTTTCTTTTTTTTCCACAGAAAGAAATAAGATTATTCGCGTTGGCTTTTTTAATTCCAATTATTTTTTTTGTTTCCGGAGTATTGTGTGGCTTTTGCGTGTATAAAGTTATTATATTCAGAACAAAAAATATTATGAAGTCTGTTTTAGATTTGGTGAGATTATAAGTTAATAATCGTGGAAGTCCCATTGCATGTTGAATTAGAAGTGCTATTTTGGGCGATGAGAAGAGTTTTTGCTGAAAATGTTTCTAAAGTTTTTGCTGAGAATGTTTCTAAAGTTATTTTCGAATTAGACTGTTATAAAGATGTTAGATTTTTTTGAAAAGTAACCCGTTATTTATTCCGAATTGGATGAGCTTGATGACTTGATTAGGGATAAGTTCTCTACTTATTGTATTTGTTTACTTCCACTATATATAATAATGTATGTGCATATTGCCTTGCTAAAGATGTACACGATTAGGAGTAACTTTTTTTTTCCTATGTAAGCAATTTAGTGCTGCACTTACTCCCCCATGAAAAGGTTTGTTCTTGCTAAATCTGTTCGAAATCTTATTCAACAAAATCTAAATAATTTCCTTTGATCAGTTGAGAGCTAACCACAATTTAGTTTACATTTCTATGAACGGAAGGCAAAAAAAAGAGGAGAATGATTAAAATGATTTATATGGTAGTTTAGAGTTCATATCTAAAACGATTCCCAATACAATGTGACGATGCCCTAGGGCTTTCGAACGATACTTGATCCGCAATGACTGAGTATTTGTCACTGTTTCTATGCCATGACCAATGTGCTCGTTTATTGTCTATAATCCTCAATCTCCCATGTCCAAAACTTGATTCGCGAAACATCGATAATGATGACTGAGGCTTCTTGAACCTGTAAACTCAATTGAGATATGTAAAAAAAAGTGATGAAATCCGTTTAATCAATTCATATAAACGGTCAAATTTTGAAAAAAAAAAAATCATAAAATCATTTTAATTTGGTGAAAAACTATAAAATAAGAATAATTAATGGGAGGGTGCATACGATCTAGCAAGGCCTTCTCGATTGCCTCCGTCACCGATGGTTATGTGTATTGGTCCACATGGGTGGGCCTTCTTGTTGAACATCGGCCTCTGCATTACCCATAGTTTTTTTTTGAAAACATGCATTACCCATAGTTTGCAATCAATAAAGTAAGAGAATTATTTTGTTTAAATTTTTCAAAAAATTAGGGTATTTTCAAAAAGTTTGTTTTTTAGAACTACGTAAACCTTTATTGAATTTTAGTCGTGGATTTAAGTTTCGGTTGGTAATATATCATTTTGAGAAACTAACGCATATAAGCATAATTTGCATAAATTCTAAAACATTGAAGCATTATAATTAATAATTATAAAAGAAAATAAATAACAGCGAAATTCATTAGGTAAAATTTGTTTTAACTTAAAACATTTGGAATGGCAATATTTATTTGATCGTAGCCATTGAATTGGCAAAATTATGCGACTTATCAATATTTTTGCATCGTATATTTCCGTAAATTACCGGTCAGAATTGTATTTAAAACATTTTAAAAATAAAAGTAGGTTAATGAAGGTGGGGATACTTACGAAACGTTCATAGGTATGAATGTGGCCAGCAAAAACGACGTCGACTTCAGCACGAAAAAGCAAACCTTCGATGGCCTTTCTCATTTTCTCTCCTTCGCCTTCATGCGCCTTGTTTGTGCTGTACCATGGCGTGTGCATCACCACCACCAACCATGGAGTCGTTTTACGGTCAACCTCCCTCACGCACAAAAAAGTTAGAATATTCAAGAACTATAGAAATAGTTGAAATGTTTATATTTCAATAACATGGAGATCGCTAGTCGAATTTAAAAGTAATCTCTGTAATCTATAGCCATAAATTCCACAAATGTCTAACTTTGAAATGTTACTAACAATACTACGCGAAGTTACCTTTCTTAAATCAGCTTCTAGCCACCGATACTGATCAGAATGAGAGTCAAAGCGAGTATAAGAACCAAGCATAATCGTGTGTACGCCGGCTACATCAAAAGAGTAGTAAAGGTTGGATCGAGAGAGGCTTTCGGCGTGAGGCATGAGCCATCGAGCATTGTATGACTCGAAGCTTGTGTGTTCAACAATCGGAAAAGACTCGATCTCGTGGTTTCCTTCGGTGACCATCCACGGGCGGGTGCTAGCCAGGGTCTCTAAGAGGCGGCCAAATGAGTCCCAAAGTGGCTGGAGGCTGTCCGCGTAAGAGAGGTCACCAGGAAGTAGGAAGACATCAAAGTCTCGTTGTCTAATCTGATCTAATGTTCCCACCGTCCAGTCGGTTTGCCCTAGGTCTCCTTCAATTTCACATGAAAAACCCGTATTTTAGTAAATTCACTAGAAAACCGGTCTTATTCTACGTGAACCAAGATCAGCATATAATAACAGTGTCAAATATATCATTCAACCCAACCTAGCTATCGTTGATTGAGTATATCCGAAATTGGATTCAACTTAACCAATGTATTATCCATGGTTTATATATATGAGGTAAATTAATTGTGGTTGTAGTTGTGGTTTGTATTAGTGTCTGCAACTCTGCATCGCCACCCGAATTCAAACTTCCATAATTTATCATGTTGACAAAACAAAAATGAAATAAATGGT